CCTCTACCATTATTATTATTGCATGCTCGCTAGTTTGCCATAGTTAATATAGTTGTGAGTTGGGTGCACATTGTCTTTTGTTGGCTGGCCTTTTTAAGGTTGCTTGGTGCCCTTTTATCATGTTGTTATAACAAGGAGCACAATCACTTGTCAGTTTAGAGCTGAAGATTGAATAAATTAGCTTATAAGAGTAAAAATTCACTGTTGGTCCTCCAACTTGGCTAGTGGTGTCATTTAGGCTACTAACATATCTATGTTCAAATAAATGCACTATCAAGATATATTTCATAATACTCACAAAAAGATTATTTCATAAAGAATTAATGAAACTAATCTGTATAGTAAATGTTAATTTATTTTTCTATAAACTTGTTTAAAATTAGAGAAATAATTTGGAACGGAGGCTTGTCGACACCATCAATTTTCGGTGGTAGCAGTGACCGCTAAAATTTGATTATTGACCGTGATCTCTTTCTGTGACATTTAATAAATAATAATCATCATTTAAAATAAAATTTGGTTTGTTTCAACTTATTAGTGGCACATAATTATTGTATTACTCTCTCCATTTTAAATTATAAGACATTTTTATTTTTCTAAATACATTGTCTTATTATGTATGTAGACATAGTACTGTAAATTTAAGTAGATAGCTAAAGCTACGTATCTAGAAAAGTCAAAATATCTTATAATTCAAAATAGAGGGAATACTTATTAAGATCTAGGCGTAATGGAAATATGTCAATTGGCATGTACATTATATTGTATTAAAACATTATTTGCTGCTATATATACTATGCTTGCTTAGATATCAAATCAAAATTCAGTACATTAGCATGACTCGAGTAGAAGGCCTTTCATGCCGATCTGCTGATCTTTGCGCACATTACTATATTTTTTTGATAAAACACAGGAGGGGCTCCCTACCGGCCCACTACCGCACATTAGTACACATTGTGATGCATTGACACGATAGCCTGCATTATCCGATCCATCGATCGAACGTCTGCCTTTTCCTTCCCGTCCTGGAAACGTGGGGCCCGGCTGACACAACATCTTATCCACTTGCATGCAGAATTATAGAAAGGCCGGCCATATATGGAGAGCGAGCTGTAACTTTTGCTCCCTTTCTTCTACCCCATCGAGTGCCACCCGGCTGTAACTTTAATTTCGCCGTCAGGTAAGAAAGGAGATCACAGGCGGTGGCACTGCCAAAGCGCGCGTGGCACCGCCAGGCGCCGGCCGCGCGCAAGGACAGACAGACAGCACACCTGATGCAACAAACCCCCACTCGTGTGTAGTAGGATCGGTCGGAGTGGTGGTTAAACAAGGAGTTGCCGCAAAGCTTTTCTGTTAAAACTTCGGCTTCAATTCGTTTTGACCTGATGATGGTAGAAAGACGATCTTAAACTTTGCGCGGTGAAAAGAGAGGCGATCTCCTCGAATTATTTCTGTGTGGAGGCGGTGGTTAAGCCCAATGATGGCAAGCATCATGGTAACCCCAAGGCAAGCTGGGTATGTAATTACCCCGGCCGGCAAATGGCAAATCACCCCTGGCCGGGCCGCCACAACTCATGAGTCATGAGCAAGCCATCTGCATGGCGATGGCGGGAGGCCGACGTGGCGCTCCTCGGTTGGTCGCGCGGGGGGCCGGGCGGCCAATGGGAAGGGGACGTTGCGGGCTGGCCAATCCTCCTCGGGCCCCACCGACCAGGGCTGCACCTGCACCAGCACCTGCACCGCTGCACGCACCCACCTGCTCAGTGTACACCATCATGGCCATGGCAGCCTACGGCTGGCCCTACGCCACCAAACTACACGTACCGCATCGCATACAGTACGTGTACGCACACGCATGTTAACCTGGTGGCTGGTGCGGTGAGAAAATGCGCGAGGAAAAGGCTGCGTAACCGCGTGCCCGCAGATATTTACAGATCTATTTTCCGGGCCCACCACGCAGTAAGTCTGATCCTCATCACCTCATGGAATGGTATCCGGGTCCCACATGTCATCGGGAGAGGCCACAACAGAGCTCAGGGGACAGGAGCTAGTATGCAGGCCTGCAGGCAGAGAGCAGCGTGTGCAGTGTGCTATGCGTGGGTTCTGAATTCTGGTGTACTCCGTACGTCTCTGCAACCTACTCCGTATCATGTATTTCTCCAGCTTTTCTTGCGGTTGCGAGTGTATGTATTTGTACAGCTTGCGCAGACTTGCAACTGGTGGTCCCGTATACTGTATTCTCTAGCTGTCTAAACACTGGAGTAGTAGTAACAGGCCGCAGATCGAGCCACGGAGCCAGCTAGGTATTTTCTTTTACCTGCTATAGGCTGCTACCAGCTGCTGCTGCAACTGCAAGTGTTTCTGTGTGGCTGCCATTGGTCACTTGGAAGAGCAGCGAGCTTGCAAAAAGGCAAACGAAAAGGTAGGACGTTTGGTACGATTTGTCCACTCCTACACAAACTTTACTGGCGGCGGACGTTTTTGGTTTTCCGCGACGGGCAAATCCGTCCGCCGCGGCCTAGAGGCCACGGTAAATCGTGGCATAACCGCGGCGGGCGGCCTTGCTCGCCGCGGTTAACCGATTTACCGCTGCGGGCGGTGTAATACCACGGCGGGCACGTTAGGATGCCCGCTTCGGTTAATCATTTTAAAAAAAACAAAAAAACCAGAAGCCCGCCGGTGAGCCCGTTCTCGAGACCACTGGCGAGCCTACCGGCGATGGATTCGGGCTTCCCACGGCTGCAGATCCGTGCCGCTCGGGGAGGGAGAAGAGGAGGCCGTGGTGGAGGGAGGCCGCCGCGCCGAACCGTCCTCGCCCGCCGGATCCGGCCACCGCGCGCCGCCACCGACCAGATCCGCCTCGGGACGCCATCACCGGCCGGATCCGGTCACCGCGCGCCACCACCGGCCAGATCCGCCTCAGGACGGGCTCGTCGTTGCCGTCCCACGATCCGTGGAGGAGGAAGTCGCCGCCGTCGGATCTGGAGAGAGGAAGAGGGAGGAGTGAGGGAGATGGAGAGAGGAAGAGGGAGATGGAGAGGAAGAAGGAGATGAACTCACCTACCTCGGATCGACGTCCTCCGCGCCGCTGGCCTGCCGGATCCGAAACCCTAGCTCCGCTCCGTCGACCCGCATGCCGTCTCCCCGCGCGCCGCCGTTGCTCCACCCGCGCCATCGCCTAGCACGCGCCGTTGTTGCCCTGGCGCGCATCGCCGCCAATGCATTGTTGTCCCCACGGAGAGAGAGAGGAGTCGGGGAGGGAGGGAGTCATGGCAGAGTGAGATGAGAGAGGAGGCGGTTGTTGGGGAGTGCGAAGTCTGTGTATATATATGACGACGGAAATAGTGGGCCTCGCTTTGTTATTGGGCCTCCGATTTTCCGTGGCGGGCCTTAAACGATGCCCGCCGCGGTAAATCGATTTACCGTGGTGGGCGCCTTAAGACGCCCGCCACGGTAAATAGGGTATTTTCCGTGGCGGACGTCTTTAGGCGCCCGCCGCGGTAAATCGATTTACCGTGGCGAGCGCCTTAAGACGCCCGCCACGGTAAATAGGGTATTTTCCGTGGCGGACGTCTTTAGGCGCCCGCCGCGGTAAATTGATTTATTGCGACGGGCAAAAAAACTTTGTCACGGTAAATAAAAAATGTCCGCCTCGGTAAATCGTTGTATGTACCGTGGCGGGCAAACTCAGTGCCCGCCACGGAGGCCAGAAGTGCAACGCTGTGCAAATTCAATCCTGTAGTAGTGGTCTGTGGAGTGTCTACTCATGTAGCTAGGCTGTGTATACGTCTAGTATACAAGGCTGCTTTGCGCCTTTGCCTCATCAGTATGCTTGTGTCTTCCTCTATCATCCGGAATTCAGGTCTGTATTTTAAGTAATCCGTTCTGCCTTTGGTGGTCATGTACCTTCTCCATTTGGGTGCGCCATAGCAGTACATTAATCTGGTTTGGTTTGATATTGACATGATATGGTCCAATAGGGCAGCGTGAGACAGGCCAAACTAATGACTAATGACTAATGAGAGATGCAACAGCCAGTGATGTGTATCAACTATTGATATTTTTCAACTGATATATAAATTTAGTTAAATTTAAGATGGTTTGATTCACTATTACATTAAAAATATATTTTTTTTAGACAGAGGAAGTATATGCATTATGCCTAAGTATCTAGAAGAGCATGAGAATTGGTTTGGTCGTCAACTCCAGCAGGTGATTGATGTTTGCCTCTGGGATACTGACATGGAGCTACCACTAGCTAGCTAGGATGTGTACACTACTGCTAATATACGGATGGAGTGGTCTTGTCGTCCTCATTGTAAAGATGATCCTGGTAAGTGTAACAAGTTGATATTTTCATTATTGCAAGAACCATAGCTGTCGATAATGAGGATTAAAAAAGAAGAAGTCATAATTAGGTATCTCTGTCAAAATCATTAGAAGCAACCGGTGAAATCTGCAAGCTTGATAATTAGAAACAACTGGAACCGCTTTTATACCAACAACCTTGTAAACCAATTTATAGCATCGGTTATAATGATGAAATTAACTTTAGTTGATAAGTTATAATATAAATACCTACAAATTGTTGATGCGCAAGATGACAAGAAGCCCCAGCCACAGGAAACTTTGCTCTTTTTTGTTGTTGAGGAAAACAAGAAACTGTGCTAAACAGGCTATTACACATGAGCCAACAATTCGCCTTCATGGGCCTAGGATACCCAAAGCCCACTTTGTTTAGTCTAGGCCCATTTATCTCTATAAAAGCCGAAATACTAGCCCATTAAGTTGCACAAAAGCCCAGTGTTGCTTTCGTCATCTTCTTTCTTGGGTCGCTCCCCACAGCGGCGGCGGCGGCCACAGCCACACGGTCTCACTCTCGCCCGGGATCTGAAATCCAAAACAGCAGTGCCCTTTCTTCTACTTTCGCGGCTACGCCGAGTATTATTTATTATTCTTCACCAGCCAAGTATGCATGCATGAACGCGGCTCCTCTTCCTCTAGCAGGTGAGGTTGTTCCCCGGGTCGACGCCGAACTGCTTGCAGTAGTCCTTGTAGTAGCCCACACGCGCGTTCACCGCGGCGGGGTTCTTGCCATTGCACTCGAGGGCGCCGTTGATGGCCCTGATAGTGGCACCGAACCCCTGTGGCATCACCCCGTGCACGTTGTTCATCCAGAACCAGAGCGCCGCCTTGAACGCAATCACGGGGTCCTGTGCCACCTTGTCTGGGTTCCCGAGCCCGTCGAAGCCGATGGCCTTTCCGGCAGGCCCGTAGTTGTAATTCCACGAGATCTGCAGCGGGCCGCGCCCGTAGTACTTCTTCCCCGGGACGCATGGCCACTGCCTGTTGCTGGCGTCGCAGTAGTTCCTACTCGCCCCGTTGATCTCGTTGATGTAGCAGAAATCTGTCGGTACATATATATGAAGCCATGCGAAGTTGTTGATCAGCGGGAACGGGACACCACACCACCAAGCAAGAATTGAAGATTAGTGGCGGTTTAATCAACTCACGTCCGGTCTCGTGCGTGACGTGCGCGAAGAAGGCGGCGATCTCACGCTTGCCCTCCACCTCCGAGGTCCGAGCTGCCATGGCCGGGCGAAGCCTGGGTACGCGTTGACGGCGTTCAGGAACGCGCTTCGCGTGTAGAAGTTCTTGCCCTCGCACCAGTTCGGGGCCTGGTTCTTGATGCCATTGAAGAACGCGTCGGTAACGACGCTTGCCACGTTCGCGCCGCTACCTCCTCCGCCCCCACCCGAGTGGCACGGGCCCGAGCGACACCCCTTGACACAGTAGGCGTCGCCCATGCCACAGTAACCATACTGGCTGCAGCAGTAGCCTGGCTGGCAGCCGCAGTTCTGTGCGGCGGCCGGACCGGCGCAGCGCCGCAGAGGAGTGCTAGCCCGAGAGCCAGGACCGCCAAGATCCTCGGCGCGTTGGCCATAGCGGATCACAGCTTCAGTTTCTGACTGTTGGTTTCCTTGCCAAAGCGCACCTTGTTGTGAGGTGATTTGAGGTGGTATGTTGGTGGCGTTTATATAGAGACCAGGGCTTGCACATTTTCGTTGCATGTCATTCGACTTTGAAGACCGGGATGGACTAGCTACGTTGGTCCAGGCGTCCAGCATTGTGCATTAGTGCTGGCACTACTGTTCCACGTTTTACGAGCTTGTGGCGGGAAACCTCTCCACAGGTACGTACTCTCTGTTTTCACATGCTGCGACGACTGCCGACTACTATAGCTGCAACGCAATTTAAAGATTTGGAATTTCGATAGCAGCCGTGTACTTGTTACTTGGTGGAAATCCGGTGCGTGCTACGCTGCTACTGGGACCAGTCCTTCACATTTCTTGTATAATTTTCTCATCCGCATAGAAATTATTGCCGTCATCCGGCCGCCGCTGCAGCCGTACATCACCGAGTATCGATGGTCAGTTGCACGGATCATGCCTGTGTGCAGATACATCATATCGGTGACATATATATAAATGGTCAATCCAGAAAATGAAGAATTCTATGAGATCGCTGCCCGTGATATGGCTGCATAATTTGGACAGAACGCACGAGCCTGAACTTATGCCTTCTCCACAATAAAGTTCAAGGACGGTCGCAAAAGAAAAGTTCAAGGGACGATCATTCCTTACTACATTTGTTCAATATATACGGTGATTTTCCTCAAATAATTATAGTTGTAGTAGTATTTTTTTATAGAAAAATAGATTATACGGTGATCCACGGCGCACTAGCAGCAACACATGTGCTTCTCCGAGATCTAAACATCCAAATAAAACACTTGCAACATACGTCTAAAACAGATGAACCATTTAAAAACATGTGTGCATAGCTATAGCAACATGTGCAACACCCGATGTACTTTTGAAACATCCAGATGCAACACTTGCAACATAAAAAAAAAGACAGATGAAACACTTAAAACCATTGCAAAACATACGCAACATCCAGATAAAACACTTGCAACATATGTGGGAAACATATGAAATATCCAGATAAACACACTTACAACATGCGTCTAAAAACACAGATGAAACATTGAGAACATATGCTTGCAACATATGTGTACAAACCATTGCAACATATGCAACATCCCAATCTACTTTTGCAACATCCATATAAAATACTTATAACATATCTCTAAAACATTTAAAATGCTTCAAAACATACATTTGCAACATGCGCTTTTAACCGACATGTGACAGGTGGGGAGCAATGCAGAGCGAGATCTGACGCTAGGTCGCGACGATGGAGGATGGCACTGAGAGGTGGCTGCGTGGGCCCCGGTGAGCGGCACCTATAGTGGAGGTGGCAACAGCGATCGGGCAGGAGTGGCCTCACGCGGCGAGGCGCTCCTGCGCTAGAGAAGGTCACGACAGGAGGGTGCCTTGCCCGCGGCAAGCGGCAACTGCGCTGGAGAAGGCGAGCAGCGTGCGAGAGGTGGAGGAACGCCGCGACGTGTCGGGTATCAGTATCAGGTCTGCTGCTGCTAAGTACCGATGGCGAGAGGCGGAGGAACTCGCGCGCTCTCTCTCGTGGCGACGACTGGGCGACCGGTGCCTGTGTGTCGGTCCCCATCGGTCCCTCGCCATGTCTTCTTCGGCCCTTCGCCGCCGACAGGCTCCGCCAGGTACACCCACCCTTCTCGTCCGTTCCTGCTGTGCGAAGTTGAGCACCCAAACCCTAACTTAAACTATTTGTGTTCGGATCTGATAACTATCGGGTGGAATGGCTCGTTTGTTTATTGATGTCCTTTACTGCATCAACCCCTTCTCGTTTGTTTGGTTCAGTTGAGCAGTGACATCTTTATATTGTTGGATTATTGGCCCCGTTCACTTGTCTTGTTTTTTCAGCTAAAACAGTATTATTTTTCGTAATAAATCAGCCGGAAGAGTGTTTCGGCTTGTTTTTTCAGCGAAGGTAACGAGGCTATTATTCTGTTTTTTGCTACTGCGATATCTGATGTTATCAAAGCAAGGCTAGTAAATCATGTTCTACTATTACAGGTTGCTGTGTTAAGTCCAAGCCTGTCACATGGATTCAACACAAGATTTCCAGCCCAGGACATTCTCTATAAAGTTGTGGCCACCAAGTGAAAGCACGCGGCTCTTGCTTGTTGAGAGGATGACAAAGAATCTGTCCACAGAGTCCATTTTCTCTCGTAAATATGGCCTTTTGGGCAAGCAAGAGGCTCATGAGAATGCAAAAAGGATTGAAGAACTTTGCTTTGCCTCGGCTGATGAGCATTTTAAAAGGGAGCCAGATGGTGATGGGAGTTCTGCTGTCCAGCTATATGCAAAGGAAACGAGCAAGATGATGTTGGAAGTTTTGAAAAAAGGCCCAAGGACTACTGCAGAACTGGAGACACCTGTAGCTGATACACCTCTTGTGCCTGCTGATACTGTACTAGATATATCTGGTGGCAAGCGTGTTTTTATTGAGGCAGATGAAGCAAAAGAACTGCTGAGTCCACTCACCAAACCAGGAAATTCATATAAAAGAATTTGCTTTAGCAACAGGAGCTTTGGTATTGGTGCTGCTAATGTTGCTGGATCAATTCTTGAGTCGGTTAAGAACCAGCTCACAGAGGTTGATATCTCAGATTTTGTTGCAGAAAGGCCTGAGGATGAAGCCCTCGATGTGATGCGCATATTCTCCAAAGCATTAGAGGGTTATGTCCTGAGATATCTGAATATCTCTGACAATGCTTTGGGTGAGAAGGGTGTCAGGGCATTCAGTGAGCTCCTGAAATCACAGGAATCCCTGGAAGAACTCTATGTGATGAATGATGGCATTTCAGAGGAAGCTGCAAAAGCTCTATCTGAGCTTATTCCTGCAACTGAGAAGCTCAAGGTTCTTCACTTCCACAACAATATGACTGGAGATGAAGGTGCTATGTACGTATATCGCTGAGATGGTTAAGCGTTCTCCAAATGTAGAGAGTTTCAGGTGCTCAGCAACAAGGATAGGATCTGATGGTGGAGTCTCATTGTCTGAGGCATTAGGGACATGCACTCGTCTGAAGAAACTTGATCTCAGGGACAACTTGTTTGGTGTTGATGCAGGGTTAGCTCTCAGCAAAACCCTTCCAAAGCTTCCTGATCTTGTTGAGCTTTATCTCAGTGATCTCAATCTTGAGAACAAGGGTACAAAAGCAATTGCCAATGCCCTCAAACAGTCAGCACCGCAGTTGGAGGTCCTTGAAATGGCTGGAAATGAAATAAATGCCAAAGCAGCCCCAGATTTAGCAAAATGCCTAGCAGCAATGCAGTCACTCAAGAAGCTGACCTTGGCTGAAAATGAACTGAAGGATGACGGTGCTGTGATTATTGCAAAATCATTGGAAGATGGCCACACAGATCTTAACGAACTTGATGTGAGCACAAACATGATGCAGAGGGTTGGAGCTCGGTGCTTTGCGCGGGCAGTTGCAAATAAACCAGCTTTTGTGCAACTGAACATCAATGGAAATTTCATCTCCGATGAAGGGATTGATGAGGTGAAGGAAATTCTGAAGGCTGGCAAGAAATCCCTGGATGTTCTGGGCTCACTAGATGAGAATGAACCTGATGGGGAGCCTGATGATGAGGAAGAGGACGAGGATGCTGAGGACAATGAGGACGAGCTGGATTCGAAGCTGCAGAGTGTGAAGGTTGAGCAGGATGATTGACCATCCTTAGGTTAAAGAGGATGTAGCCTTTTGCGTCGCCGGTAAAGAGGATGTTCTGACTGCTCATTGATAGATAAACCTCTTGTTTCATTGATAAACACATCACTTTTCAAAGGATCTATTCTACGCGTGTCCACTTGCCGTGAATGATTGCAGGTGCTCTTCCCACATGGTAACCTTTTAATTTTTTTTTGCGGGCCCTGATTTGTGGATTTAATCATGAAAGATGTCTTTGGTTAATGTCACAATAAACATGTTAGTTCAGGAGGATTAGAAAACACACCCTGCTTGTATCGACACAGCTTTTCACATGACATCTACTTTGCTTTGTATTTTTGTTCATCTGATGCGAGTTGGTATTAAGATATAAGCTAGTAGCAGAGTCTTGATTACCGTGGTTCCTTGGCCAGTTTTTGTTATGTAAAACCAATTATCTTGTGCAATCTCATTTCTGATTATAGATTATTATAACTGGTCTTATTTATTCTGTTATATAACTTATATTCATGACATAGTTCCATTATAAAATGGTCTGATTTATAGATGCTACCTATTTTCCCAACAATTTTTTTGGGGTGACTGTGCACTAGTAGTTGACCTACTACTATAGGTTGTCTCTGTGTGCTTTGATCAATAAATTCACTTGCTAAGTCTGTACGAGTTACCTCAATTTGACCAAGGGAAACTTTAGCTGCTGCCGACGCCTCATTGGTGACAATGAACGCCAGTTTAAGCCACCACCTTCACGATATGGCCGGCTTGCTTCATCATTTCTGCATCTTGTTATGTAGAGTTGTAGACCCATACTCGTTGTTTTCAAATGCATATGCCAATGCGCTGTTTCTCGACTCTTTTGTTTCTTCATCAGAGCCTGGTAGGTCCAGAAGCTTCCTGCTCGACTCTATTCTTTCTTCAGAGCCTGGAATCTATTGTTTCAAATGCATATGCCAGTCTCCAGCAATGTCCGTGGCCAGCACCCCCTGCGCCCCCCCCCTGGCGCCGTCCGCGAGCAGCTACACGTACGCGGCGCCAAAGCACCTGGACTGGCTGACGGGACCCTGACTGCCGCGCCAGGAATGTTGTCCATTCAGGCTCGGTCCACCACGGCCTCTTCTCCGGCGAGCTCGAGCTCTCCCTGCAGGGAAGCGTAGTTGCAGCGCTCAACTATGTCGACTTGTCGAGCCTGTCTTCTTCACTGGACTCTTTTCACCACAAGAACTGGACTTGCTCGGATAACATATTAACATCAAATAAGACTACCGAAGCCATGGAAGTGTCAGATGCCAACGAGACAAGCCCTCAGAGGGCGCTCGAGGCTCGACCAATATCTTTTAAAAAATCAGTTTAATTTTACAGAAAAAACTAGAAACAAGAAAATTTTCACACATTCCAAACGGGACAGCTAGCGCCCAGTGATTCCACCTGTCCGAGCGTGTCTGTCCCCGCGTAACGGAACGGCACACGCGCACGCGCGTCCCTCTGTGGCGGCGCTCAGTCCCCGCCGTCCCTTGTCCTGGGTCTCACCGCCCCCCTGTCGCGCTCCGTCCCGCACCGCGTCCCGTTCTTGTCCATGTCCATACATTTGAAACATACGTATATAGCCATTGCAACATATGTAACATCCCGATCTACTTTTACAACATCGATATAAAATAATTGCAATATACCTATGTGCAAACACAGATCGGGTGCTTTCAGCGCAACATCTTCTTGCTACCGGGCGAATGGAGGGGGCGCAGAGCTTCACGGCAAGGCGACGGCGACGATGACGTAGAGGGCGGATGGGAATGGCAACGGTGGTGCAAAGGGTAGGACGGGGCGGTGCGGCAGCGACGAAGAAGCCGGATGCACGACGCGCAAACAGTGAGGGCGCGTGTTTTTGAAGCGCTGTGCAGACGTCAGGCAAGTAGCGTTACCGCATTCCAAACAAAGAGGCCCTCAGACTGCGCTCGACCAATATCTTCTTGTCCGAGTCGCCGTCGTCTCATTATTACTCTTCTCCAATACCAAGCACAGTAGCAACTAGCAAATGAGAAAGAGAGCCAACAATTCGTCTTTGTGGGCCTACAATATCCTAAATCCCACTTTGTTTGGTTTAGGCCCATTTATCTCTCTATAACAGCCGAAATACTAGCCCGTTAAGTTGCACAAAAGCCCAGTGTTGATCTGTCGAAAGTAGTATATGGTGTTAGTAACTGCCATAACATTTAGGACGTGAATGCGATTTGAAACAATGAAACCCACAGCCCAGTGTTGCTTTCGTCATAACAGCATGGATGTATAGTGCCATAAACACTTCCTAAAGCACGATAGAAACCTACAGAAATGGTGAGTACATTAAAATCTCAGTGAGAGTAGTACTAGATTATAAATCACTAACAACAGATTACACAGACAGACAAGTAATGGGACGAAACACGCCATGAACAGACATTGGCTTGGTGGTCTCCTTCGTAATAACTGTCCCGCGACGCATGCGTCGAGTGCGACGGCGACCAGCGATTAGAGAAGAAGCAAGGAGCTGACGCGGCGTGCCATCGCGAGCAGAAAACACGAGGTCGCCGTCTCCCGTGGTCACTTTGGTTTAAGGAAGCTACGTAAGATTTTTCGTGCAGCAACTTGTCACCTGCAAATTTCCAAGGGTCAATGTTTCATTATGTTAACTGAAAGACAAACTAATTCAAGTGGCTCTATAATTGAGGTCTCTGCAATTGATTGAAAGGGAACAATATAGACGGTATCGGGAGTTCAGACGAAACAGCATTCAGATATTGTTGACTACCACTGCATAATGGTGACTGACTGACTGCAGAACACGAGGAAGCTCCCAATGTGAAGGCACAATTCAACACAACTACAATCCCAAGTACAAGAACAAGATCAACTGCAGAATAGTTTAGCATGGACATGATGTAATTCTTCACTCTAACTTGTGGAGGTACATGATCGTGCTGTTATGTGCGTCCTCATCAACCAGCAATCTAGCATGGTCAGTTTCCCAAATTGCAGGAGCCAAAGGCCAATATAAACGCGAAGTCACCGCTTGAAACGGAGTGCAGATCAACTGACCTTCCAAGCTCCATAGAAACAGGAAGGGGGACTACTAAGGATTGCCTGACTCTGACTGCAACAGCCCATCAGTCGGCAGTCGGCACAGACAGACTGAAGAAAGAATATGATAATGTTTATAAGCAGATCACTAGGGGAGATTTTGAGTGTCTCCGCTAAGCAACAGGTTACTGTTGGGAACAGGTGAGTTGGAATCGTGTGTGTTATCAGAGCAGATCTCTGCGCTGCAGCTGTAGCATTGTTCTGGCTCCGAATCATTCGGTGACTGCGACGACCGAATATGCATGGATCTTCGTTGATCCGGCTCAGATTATTTTTGTCCATTCAGTTCTGCTCTATTTCAATAGAGTAGTAGCTACGTACTTAAGTTCAGAGATACCTTTTCTAAAAGACAAAAAAAAGGTGTTACTCACTGATCACTGAACTGAACGTTAGTTGTAACCAAATACCAACAGTCAGTAGCCTCTCAGTGCATCCCAATAATATATCTCCCATAACCGATGGACGCTTATGCTTGGTTAAGACCTACTCCGTATGTTGCATATTGTTTCTGAATGAAAATAACATATGTAATTCGTGGATCTTTGTAGCATATATACAATACAACCATACTTTATCTATTCTTTTTACTTTGTCTTGGAATAGTAAGAGCATTGTACAGACTGCAGACTTTGCAATAGTCAATTATAGTAGTAGATGTTAGATGCGTTCAGCAACGAAATATGGAGGCGGTCGCTCGTCAGCTTGGCTAGGAGTAGAAAATCCAGTACCCGCCCAGGAAAGATGATACGTGATCCATGAAGAAATCAGAGAAGCTCAGGGGAGGCTGCAGCTATATTTAACTGCTCTGACTTTATATATTGCGAACATGAACGTCTTCTCCTAGTTCTGGGGCGGTCGGTTCCAAGGCCCAAAATTCTCCAGCAGATAGCACCTACGAGATGGAGCTTCAATTCGTCATTATTTAAGACTAGAAAAGGTTTCTGATCAGGTACTCACTCGTACAGTCGACCGTACTCGAGGTCCTTTGGAGGTACCTAGGGGCAGGGCCAAGACAGTGCAAGTTGTTTCAACTTTGAACAAGAGAACCCGATCAGCATGGATCCAAACCAAAGTGGACAATGGAGTGCACGCATGATCGTCGCCATTGGGTCTGTGTCAATTTCGATCATCAAGTTGCTGTATGTATGGGGCCCCTTTATGAATGAACTCTCGAAAAGAAACAGACTGATTGTGTATTAACTTTCAAAAAGGGACTATTGCATGGGCCCGTCAGCCTGATGAATCGATCCGTTGCTCGTAATCCTCGTCAGCTCCAACCAATGACTAGGATAAGCTAGTAGAGTAATCGATCAACAAACTAAAAAATTTAGTAAAGCTTAGCTTAGCTTTACTAGCTAGCCGTGACGCGAGCCATTTGCCGGTTGTCTTCTCCCTTGTACGCTTGTTTAATCACACAAGTGGCGTCGAGTTCAAAAAAAGAAAGAAAGTAAGCGAACGTCAGTGTCGTCCAGGCTTTATGACCTTATCAGCGACTGCATCCTTTTGCGCTTTCACGGTAAGTACGGTCAGGGTACGGCTCTAAACTATTGGGGCAGGCTCTAAACTATTGGGGCAACTATGTATTTGCCACCGGAATAAATCAATCTTCTTTATTTAACACTAAAAAATTTGAACTTTCTTATTTGGCATTGAGTTAAAATTTTCTTCTATAAATAGCACTACCGTCCATTTAGTGCATCCATCCGTCAGTTGACTGCGTTGACCCTGTCATATTTCTTTTGGAAGTACCAAAATACCCCTCTATACTCGCTCGCGGCTGGCGGCTCGTCTCCTGCCCAGGAGCTCACGGAGGCGCGGCGCCCTCTCGCGCCGGACTCGGCAGATCGAGGCGCGGGAGCTCGACGCGACCTCGTTATCTCCATTTCGTG